GTTTGCAACTCTTCTTTTGCCTGTGTATGTGTTGGATTTTTTATGAAAATTTGATTTTAATCTTTTTATTATTACCATCATACATTGTCAAGCATATAATAAGAATAATGAAAGTTCTTACATGGTAATGATTTAAAATTAATCAGTAACATACACCGGCGGAGGCAAGGGGGGGCACGTGCCCCCCCTAAAAAAATTGAAAAAATTGGGGATCTATACATAAAATAGAGTTGGAAACTTTAGAAATTAAATCGGAGATCATATGAACTCTGATTTTAGCAAACTTATAGTCGAACTGAACGTCTCAAAAATACGAACCCAACGGCATCAAATTCGAACCAATCCAAACCTAAATGACTCTAAATCAAAGACTTGAAGCATGTTTGAACCAACAAGGCAACAGCTATTTTGATTCGATCTTAAAGAGGTTTTATGATTTTTTTTTTGTGTAATGATATTTTTAATATCACATATTTAGTTAATATATTGAACCCGTTCTAGCAGAAATCAAGTGATTTGATGATTGGAAGTCATTTTGAGAAGGAAAAAAATAAACTAATTCACCGTCAAATTTTTATCATTTTTAAAGCTTATTATATCGGTCTCAAGTCCGGATGTAAAAAGTTGAAGGAAATTTAAAAAAAAAATAATATAGCCCCCCCCCCCCCACCACCTTAAAAACAATTTCTAGCTCCGCTATTGGTAACATATAGTATTGATAAATCCTTAAAAAATTATCTTGACCGGGCACGAATCTTTAGGCAAAATCAAGCCGGAAACTTCAAAAATAGAATCCGGGATCATCTGAACTCTAATTTCAGCAAACTTATAGTCAAACTGAGCGTCTCGAAAGTACGAACCCAACGACACCAAATTCGACTCAATCCGAGCCCAAATGAGTCCAAATCAAGGACCCAAAGCGCTGTTGGAAAGTTCTAACCATAATTTGAGTTACCAAACGGTTTCCAAATATGACGTTCTTATAGTCGAATCGAGCGGCTCGACAAGATGAATCCAACAAGCCCAAGATCGTCGAATTCCGACATCATTAAGACCTTCAAAGGTCTGACGAATGGTGCACGATCAAGGGATTCAATATCGTCCGTCCATTTGATCACTCTCTATTTGCCCATGATCTCACACATATTTACAAGCTATGTCACTCCAGGAAATTTATAAATTGACCTCTCATTTCTCATGAGGGATCCAAGTAAGAAGAAGAGAAGAAAAAGAGAAGAAGAAGAGAAGGATAGGAGGGAAGAACTCATCCTCGACCATCGCCAGAGTTCTGCGCCCAACGTCAGAATTCTGCCAGACATCCGAACGACGCCAGAGTTCTTCTTGACGCCAGAATTCTGCACGACTTCCGAACGACGTCGGAGTTCTACCTGACGCCCAATTGACGTCAGAGTTCTGCCCGACTTCCAAACGACGCCGGAATTTTATCCAATTTCCGAACAACACCCGAATTATGCCCGACCTCTGAAGGATGCCAGAATTCTGCTCGATCTCTAAGTGATGCCGGAACTCTGTCCGACATTGTAATTGGATCTCAATCCGAAAGTGAAACATTGTAAACTGATCATCCTAAATTTTAAGGACGAATCAGCTTTTTGTACTTCAAACAAACACCAATGGAATTATTTTAACTGGGCGTGGCCCCGTGGTTTTTTCCCTTTCCAGGGGTTTCCACGTAAAATCCCTAGTATTTCTATTTCTCTTATGTTTGTGTGCTATATATCCGTACAACGCTGAGACGGAAGTTTTTTAACTCTATCGTCGCGTATATTTTAGTCCGCAATAGTTTGACGCCCTCTGTGGGAAGGTTATATCACAACTTCAAGTATTGCTACGATGGTCAACAGGCACAGCAGTCATATTGTTGGACTTCTCACTCCAACTCCCACCAGTCCAGAAATCAATCTATGAATCATAGATGCCCGATATCTGCTTCTTTCTACCCTGGGGGAAAAATGCTGCTAGAGAAGGAGCTCAGGACCATCCCTAGAAGAGAGAATCCGAAAAACGGAAGATACTCAAAATGAGATCCTTTAACTCATACGAGAGACTCGGCAGTCTGCATTACCATAGCTGGAGGAAATTCTTCTCCCTCTAGCTCCACCACTAGTCGAAGATGTTCAACTCGAACATCTTCAAGCAGAGATTCATCCTCCTCCGCCAAGGAGGCATATACAATCACATCACGATAACGAACTTGTCGATATAACAAGTTCTACACATCCTTCGCCCACAACCCGGTAACATCGCATTCTCCTAGATCTTCTTGAAGACTCAGCCCAACCACACGTTGCTGAGCTCCCTCACAACGCCTTACTTCATGAACTGCGGAGATTAGTACGGGAAGAGTTCCTCGGAGGAGATGTGAGGCAAACACTTCGACAACGAAACTTCATGGAGTCATCACCTTTAACTGAAGCCATTCTTCAACACCCAATTCCGGTTGGCTTCAAACTACCAAGCATCGAGTCCTACGACAGGACGTCCGACCCGTATGAGCATATCAACCACTATAAAATCATCATGCATATTCAGCGAGCCTCGGATGCACTCCTTTGCCTGGTTTTTTCTGCCACCCTTAAAGGATAGGCTCGAACATAGTTCTATTCACTTCTGTCCAGAACGATCCCCTCATTCGTCAAATTGGCCAAAATATTTGTCGAACAGTTTGTAGCCAATTGAAGAGTTGCTAAGGATTCTTCCCACCTCTTTGTGATCTGCCAAAATGAGGAAGAATCATTGAAGGAGTATTTTCAGCGATTTTCCAATGAGGCCCGACAGATTCCAGGAGTAGACCCTGAATTGCTTAGAGGGGTTTTTCTTGGTGGCCTTCGTCTTGGCCCTTTCTATTCGGCACTCATGCGCGACACTGTTCATTCATATGCCGATCTGATCCATCGTGTGGAGATGCAAATCTCTGCAGATGAGGCTATAAATGCTCATAAAAAGCAGTTTGAGCAAATCAACGAGAAGCGCAAGGGTGCACCTGGGATGAATAATTCATTTTCTCAACAAAAACATGGGAAGAATAATCTATCTCCTAGGCCTCCATTGCCACGATGGGAATCTCGACAGGAGTATACCCCACTCAACACATCTCGAGCAAATGTATTGATGGCCGTTCGAGATCAAGATATAGTGAAATGTCCAAATCCTTTAAAGTATGGATGCATATTGCCTCAACAAAATGGCACTGGACATCCGCAATCATCGACCCTTCGTCTGATATTTTTGTCGGTGGTCCTTTACTTCAGACATTATTGGTTTCTCGCTCAAACTATTGATAGTAGCATATCCTCCAACTCTTTCCTTTTGCTCTCCACTCGACCTTTGAATGCCGGCGAACTTTTTCTTAAATAGCATCAAAATTCTTCCTGTCTACTCACCACTTATGGTTATCCTCCCGTCGTTGGACTTCTGCACATCGCAGGACTTTCGTCGGAATTCCACTCGACTCTAAAATTTCTTTTGTCACAGGACTTCTGCACATCGCGAGACTTTCATCATAATTCTACCTGACATTGAAATTCCTCCCGTCGCTGGACTTCTACCCGTCATGAGACTTGCATCGGACTTCCAACCGTATGCTGATAATCATCGATTTTCCCCGACCGTAGGATCTTGAAGAGGGAGGTGGAAGAAAATAAGTGGCTGCAAAAAAGTCCAACTTCTACACAAGGAGAGAGGCCCTAAATTTGGTAGGGGATGTCACCTGCCAAAATAGGGGAATTTCTCAACTGTAATAAAGTCATAATGAAGGAGGAGAAAGAAAAGAAACGGCTGCAAAAATTTCAACCTCTACACAAGGAGAGGGGCACTGATTTTGCGTAGGAAAAATCACATACGAAAAATAGTGGAATGCCTCCCCTGTTAGAAAGTCAAAATGCGGGAGGAGAAAGAAAAGAAAATGTTACAAAAAATTTTTTCTTTACTAAAGAGGGGCGCTAATCTGAGTAGGAAAAATCACCTACGAAAGATAGCGGAAATCCTCTAGAGCAAGAAGAAAAAAGGAGAATAAATTTTAATTTTTGTACAAGAGGAGAGGCGCTGAGTCAAGTAGGGAAAGTCACATACTGAAAAATAGCGGAAAGCCTCAATTGTTAGAAAGTCAGAACAAGAAAAAGTGAGAAGAAATTTTAACTTATGTACATGAGTAGGGGCGTTGAGTCAAGTAGGGAAAGTCACCTACTGAAAAACAGCGAAAAACCTCAACTATCAGAAAGTCAGAGCGAGAAGAGAAGAATGTACAATTTTTCTCTTAGCCGGGGTCTATTTATAGGGTTTTTTTGGAGAGAAATGGAAGTTTCTAGAAGATTCTATAATTTTTGGAATTTTTAAAAATTTTCTAAATTTTTTTTTGGAACTTTTTAGATTTTTGGGATTTTTTCTGTTTTTTTACGAATTAAAAAAAAATTAAGTCGGTTCGGCCAAACGTCGGCCCGAACCGCC